TGGATCTCTTCGTATTTCTTGATGTAGGACTTGTTGCACGCGGCCCAGGTGTGCTTGAGACGGAAGATGGCCGAGCACTGCAGACCCGAGATGATCTCCATCATCGCGTTGTAGTTGTTCAGCTTCTCGCAGCCCATCGCGATCTATTGTTCGACACGACACGACCAACGACACGACACTGACGCGTGAGCCAGCCTGGTGTGAAGCTGAAGGGGGAAAGAATGAATGGAATGTGGGCGCATTCTCACCTGGATGAAGCGCTCGAGGGTGGCGGCGCGCTTCTTGATGTTGTCGACCTTGAGGATCTCGGTGGTGACCCAGCGGGAGACGGAGTTGAAGCGCTGGATCATGGCCATGATGTTGGGCGCCTTCTCGTCGCGGGTGGCCTTCTTGGTCCAGGCCTGGCCCAGGCACTCCCAGGGCTTGATGGACTTGTAGAGCGCGTACTCGATGAGGGTGAGCTGCCGGGCGATCTCGACGGGGTCGATGTCGGCCAGCTCAATGGACGACGTGTCGAGCGGCACGATGGGCTTGGGCGGCGCCGAGCTGAACTGCACCTCGCTCTCGGTCTCGTTGCCCTCCATCTTCTTCGCCACGAGGCGCTTGAGCTGCTCGCCGGCCTTCTCCATCGCCATGTTGCCCGTGCCCATCATCGACGTGTTGATGAACTCGAGCAGCGTGTTGGTCAGCGACGTGTCCGACCCGAAGTCGTAGAAGTGGGTCTGCACCCAGGCCTTGAGCACGTTGAACACGCGCAGCTGGATCGGGCTCTGCTTGTTCTTGACCCACGCGTCCACCTCCTTCTCGTCGGCCCCCTTGGGCGCCGGCACGTTGTAGCGCGTCACCAGCAGCGCCAGGAACTCGGTCGGCGTCGTGAACGATCGGTACGTGAGCAGGAACGCGTTCACGTAGTCCGGATCTGACGTTTCACGACACACACGACACGACACACGACACACGACACGACACACACCGCCGCTCATCAACACCACTATCCACCGCACACGCACACACGGCACACGCACGGGTGGCACGACGCGCGTACCAGGGTACTTCTCGTAAGTGAGGCGCTCGATGAGCTTTTCCAGCTTGCCGGCCTTGACCGACGGGCGCGGCTGGTTCACCGTCTCGGGGGTGAAGATGAGATTCTTCTCCGAGTCCTCCTCGTTGAACGGGTAGTCGGTCTGGCCGGAAAAAAAGTAATTAATCGAGATTAAATTAAAGAATATAAATTGCTTCAATCTATTTTATAATTTGAGCAATTGATTTGATTCTAAAATGGGTTTGTTTCGTTGCGAAAGCCAAATAAAAATAAATAAATAAATAAAAGGGGGGTACCTCATCTTCCCAATCGGGGGTGAGGGCGCGCGATGAGGGGCGGGAGGAGGGCGACGTGGAGGTCTTCATCTCGCCCGAGCTCGTGTAGGAAGATGAAGAGGAGAGGGGCGAGGGACCCACGGAATCGGGGCTGCCGGTGGCGATGATGTGGTTCACCTGCTCCTCCTGCAGTGCCTGCGGTATGCTGTCCCTGTTTCTGCGCGACTACGGTCGTGCGCGTGCGCGTGCGGTGGTGCGTGTGCGGTGGCAATCGAAGAGAATGCGAAAGGAAGAAGAAAAGATGGTGGAGGAAAAGAGCGAAGGCGTGTGAGGACGACGAACAAGAAGATGAACACACATCAGCCCTGACACGGGTGACGAGGAAGACAGGAACATGTCGACACATAATAAATCGGAATAGGGGAAATAAAAGAAAAATAATACTACGACCACGCGAACTGATTGGTTAAAAATAAGTGGCAATTCTCCACGCGTAAATAAAATAAAATAATAACATATTTATATTTAGGTAAATAATAAATTATAAACATAAATAAAGTAGGTGGGCGTACCGGAGGCACGGGCTTATTGAAGCCACCGGGCTTGGGAGGGGGCACCGCCGCGAAGGCCGGGTGGAAGGACTTGCGGTCGCGGTGGCTCGGCACGCTCTTGGCACTGCCCGAGAGGGTGCCCGAAAGCGAAGAGCCCAACGAAGGCGATCCTGCACGCGGCGCACAGCACGATTTGGGAGAGTTCAGTGGAGAAAGAACGAAAGCGACGGGGGAGGGGGAAGGGAAGAGCGCGGGGCACCTTCGGCCTCGGGTTCGGCGCTGCGGGTGGAGGTCGGGGAGGTGGGACCAGCGGAGGACTCGTCGAGCTCGGCCGGGGGAGGGGGCGCGGCCTTGGCGAACGCCGGGTGCTTGGGGCTCGTCGAGCCGTTGCTGCCATTGCTGCTCGCAGCCGCCGCCCTCGCAAAGAACGGGGACCTCGTAGCCGGCGGCGACGTCGGTGACTGCGCGTGTGTCGTGTCGTCGTGTCGTCGTGTGCGTGTGCGTGTCGTGTGGTCGTGAGATAAAGAAGAGAAGCTGTGACGCTCGGCTCGGAGCGAACTGCCACGTACCTGGGCGGGGCCACCATTGGTGCTGGCGGCCGCGGGGGGAACGCCTCCGTTGGCGGGCGGAGGCACGCCGCCGCCGGGCACGGGGACGCTGCCACCGATGCCCGAGCCGGGTCCACTCGTCTTCTTCAGCTGGGGCGGGCCGGTGATGGGCGGCAGCCTCATGCTCATCGACAGGCGGTTCACGTTGGGCGCACCTGGAGTGGTGTCAAATGGGTGGTGGGTGGGGGTGACACCACAATATAGTAGAAAAATGGGCACCAACTTGTGGTGTCAGGCGAGTGGGCGATTTCTTGGGGAGGACTTGGCTGTGGTTCTCATAAGTCGCTTGGTTCCCCCACAGCCAACGATAAAGAGCGAAAAAAGCGACAAAAAAAAGCGACACAGAAAAGAACGAAGCCTCTTCACACCGGCGAAGAAGAGAAGATGTGCAATTCGTTTGAGTTTGTGGATGGGTCGGCCTCGAGGCTGAACCACAAGGACGTAACCAAGGAGATAAAAATAAAATAAACGCGTAATCAAATCATTACGTGACTAAAATTTTAAATAAAAGGAATAACAAAAAATGGGAATAAGTGGAGGGGGGGGTACTGGTCATGGGCGGAAGGGCCGGGGGAGTCTCTCCGGCGGGGGGCTCGGCCGTAGGGGACGCGGGGGCCTCCTCCGCCTTCTTCAAGATGGAGAAGAACGAAAGAAGGTTAGAAGAAGAAGGAGAAGAAACATCCATACACCAGCAGATGTTTGTTATTATTTACATTCTAATCGCCATCCTCTTCTCCCTCTCTTCTCTCTATCGCTTGATCAATTCGTTCTCTTCCATCCATCCCAAAACCACCGCTTGAAAAAAAAATCAATCTCAGTTATCTTCATCTTGAACCTACCTTGGTGGCAACGGTCGTGGTCGACTTCTTGAGCCACGACATCTTCGTGGTTCTTGCGGGGAGATGTTTGTTTCGGGGGCAGAGAGAGTATGAGAGAGACGCAGGACAAAGATGACGACGACTATGATCCGGGGGCGGCGGGAGTGGCAACGAAGATGGGAGGGCGTGTGCGGGGCCGACCTTTTCTTGCGTGTTGGGCTCGGCCGATGGGGCAAGCGCACCGGTTGGTCGGCACCTGCACAGCGACCCACGATTTGCTCCGCGACCCTTAATTAATTTGGACTTTGGCCTGGCGGTGGAACGTGTTCGCCACGAGATCCCTTCTCCAGTTGTCGGTTGGCAACCGCAAGGCCTTGCGGCCCGCGTACGCCGTAAGAAAGAACGAAGGCGGGCCAACCCTCAAGAAAGAACGAAGGCGACAGCGGCGTCCGCAAAAGAGCGAAGACGGCGAGAAGAAGGCACTTATGGGCGGTGGGTTGAGCAAGTAAAATATATTTGGCCAATTATTGGTGACTGTTGGATCTTGGAGACCAATAGGCTTTGGTTCCCAGTTCTTCTTTCCTCCTTTTCCAAGGGCAAGGACCCGTGTGAAGTGGTTGATGGGGGGGGGGACGAGCGGGGTGGTGGTCGTTACATTGGGGGGAATGCTCAGTCCCGGGCGGGCAGGTTGAACTTGGGGAGACGCGTGGAGACCTGCTTCACTAGCTTCTGCTCCGTCGTGAGCGACACGGACTCCTCGTGTCGTGCTGCAACGATCGCACACGCACAACACCACCGCACACACACAGATGACGTCAGCTGCTGAAGCGCATAAGAGCGCTGGAGGATTGGGGCGGGGGGAGCGTACTTTCGCGGTTGACTCGCATCTTCGAGAAGCGGGTCGAAGTGCGGAGCGAGGCGACGAGCTGCTTGACGGTGCCCTTCTCGTTGGACTCGCCCACCGGGGCCGACTTGAAGAAATCGTCCACCACCGAATCCACGTCCGACACATTCACCACATTCTTGCGCGGCACCTCCTACCATTGCACACGACCGCACACCGCACACGCACACGCAGGGAAGAGTGAGTGGCGTGGAGTTGTTTTGGAGGGCCGGAGGAGGCGGAGGGTGAACGCACCTCTCTCTTGGGGAAGTCGTTGAGGAGCATGGAGGTCTTCTTCGTGACGCCCACCTTACGATCGGCCTCGCTCTTGCTGAACTCGACTCGTGGCCTGCGCCCAAGTGACCGTCACCCCAACGCCCGCTTAGCAAAAGAACACGCGCGCACCATGACACACACGGCGCGACACACGACACACGCGACACACGACATAAAGGTGTGGGCGGCGGGGGTGTACGAGGTCGGCGGGCTGACGTCGAGGCTCTTGAAGTCCTTGATCTTGGAGCTGTTCCGCATGAGGAGGGACTTCTTGTCCTCCTTCTTGAGCGGGTCGCTCTTGTCCTTGGGCTCCTTGTCGTCCTTCTTGTCCTTGGCCTCCTTCGTCAGTTTCTATATTTCAGTCGACACGACACGACACACGCGACACGACACGACACCACATAACACGACACGCACGACACACAACCGTGTTATCAATTATCGTCAGTACCATCATTGCAGGAATGGAATGGAATGGATGTGGAGGAGAGGTACCTTCTTCTTGAGGGCGGCCTCTTCCTTCTTCTTCTTGGCGAGCTCCTTCTTCTCGAGCAGTTCCTTCTTCTTGGCCAGCGCGGCCTCCTTCTTCTCGATCGCCTCCTGCTTGCGCCTCACCGTGATGTTGTACTTGACCGCCGTCTGCATGGAACGCACACACGAGTCGTGCACATGTCAATCTCAGTTCACATCATCGCGGTGTGCCGTGTTGTGTGTGTGTGTGTGTGTGCCGTGCGTGCCGTGCGTGCCGTGTTGTGTGTCGAGGGGTACCTGGAAGGACTGGGTGAACTTGTCCCAGTCGGAGAAGAAAGAGCTCAAATCGTCCGCGGACCTCTCGCCAAAGTAGGTGACGTCCTTCTTGAAGCCCTCCTCCATCTCACCGAGCTTGGTGAGCTGCTTCTCGATGTCCTTGTAGTATTTCTGTTGCGCAACCCCCCAATTCCCACCGTCAAACAGCGCCCACACGACACACACAACGACACACGACACACACCACACGACACACACCACGACACACGACGCATAGCACACAGGGAGGGAGGGGGTGTAAGCGGACCTCCAAGTGGTTGGCCCAGCGGTCGTTCTTCTCCTTGGCGCAGAGCTCCATCTCGGTCTTGAGCAGATTGAAGTCTTTCTTGATGAAGCTGGTCTCCACCTGCAGACTCTCCACAGCTGCAACGCGGCACAATGCGACACGCACACGCACACGCACACACCGTCAGGTGTGCAGCAGGGTGGGGGTGGGGGTGGAGAGGGCGGCGCGTACCAGTCTTGGCCTCCTGGAGGTGGGCGAGCTCATCGGGGAAGACCAGGAGCTCAGGGAACTTCTGCTCCACGATATCTGCGATTTGGTGCAGCAGCGTGAACTTGCTCTTCGACTTGGACGTCACGTCGTTCAGCTGCACTCCGCGACACACATCACCATCACAGTGTCAGACACGCGGCACACGCGGCACACACGGCACACGCGACACACGCGACACACACACACACACACACACACACGATAAGCACCTTGAGCAACGAGGACAAGCGGAAACCGTGGCACTGCTGCCTGGGGTTGTTGATGTAGTTGCCCACGGCCAGCGAAATCTGCAGCGGTCACACAACACAGCGCACCGCCACCCGCGTTAGTCACTCCCGCCAACACACACTCACACACGAGCCCGGTGAATCGCTGTGGTCATTCGGCTGGACATACCTCGAGCACTTGTCGCAGTCGCTTGCTGCGCAGCTCCTCGAGCGCCATCTTCACCGTGTTGGCACTCTATCGTGCGTGTGTGTCATGAGTGTGTGTCGTGTGTGTCGTGCGCGCGTGTCGTGTCGTGTCAGGATCAGACCCGAACGCTGATTGCGTGATGAGTCTGGGAGGCGGAGGGGGGGGGTCGGGTACCTCCTGGCAGTCACGGAGCTTTTCCCTGGCCTCCTCGGTGAAGAGCAGGACCGAGATCTTCTCTCGGATGCGCGGCACTTGGAAGAACTGACACGCAAAAGTGAGAAACGCAGATCACAACGTGTGTCGTGTCGTGTCGTGCCGTGCCGTGTCATGGGGCGCCTCGTGGAACGTACGGTGTGCAGGATTCGCTCGGCATCGGCCAAGTTCTTGGGGTCGTCCTTGTACTCCAACAGCTTCTTTTTCTGTTTTGCCGGGTCAGCGCCTGCCGCACGTTGGGTGTTGGGGGGACGGCCACACAGAAGGGGGGTACCTCTTCTTCGTAGGTCTTGGCGGGGAACAGGTTGCGCAGCTCGCCCATGGTCTGCAGGGAGATGAACTTGTAGTCCAGCTCGGCCACGGACTTAGCGATTTCCTCGGGCGTCTGCGGGAAGCGGTGCATGACGATGGCTGCACGGTGCAGCGTGGGTCAGTGACGCGCCCACCATCGAAACCACGCACGACACACACGCACACGCACACGCACACGCACACACGCACCACACACGGAGCGGGGGCGAACGTACAAACAATGTTACACCGCTGGTGGTCGAGAAGGGTGGGGTCCTTCTTGTCCTTCTTGCCGGCCTGGCCCACTTTGCCGGCGCCGGCCTTGCCGTCGCCCGAGGCCGCGACTCCGATCACGTTGACTGTCAACGCAGGTCGCGTAAGCAGCCGAGTTAAGCATTGCGCGTCGTGTCGTGTCGTTGATTGTGTGCTGATGGTGAGGACGTACGGTTGGAATTCTTGGGCACGCTCTTGAGGGCGAACACGTTCTCCAGATCGGCGGTGTCGATGTAGCCCTGATCGATGAGCTTCATCGGCTTGAGGCCGTCGAAGATGGTGTCCTTGATCTGGTTCTGGGGAATGAGGTTCCATCTGTTTTTTGTGGCCAAATCGACAAAGCCGTGTGAGAAGGGTTGATATTTGCTCACACGACACGACACGACACGACACGACACACCGCACACACCGCACACACACGCACACACACGCACACGCACTAAGATGGCACAAGCGTACCTCCACGGCAGCATGGGCGGTCTATCGGGATCTTGGAAGGAGGGTCCGGCAGCGAAGCCGCCCGGGGGAGGAGGCGCGCCGGGAGCGGGGGGAGCGCCG